GTTCACCATGGAAGTTTATTTCACCATGGAAGTCCAGTTCACCATGGGAGTCCAGTTCACCATGGAAGTTTATTTCACCATGGAAGTCCAGTTCACTATGGGAGTCCAGTTTACCATCGGAGTCCAGTTTACCGTGGGCCACCTGTGGCTCTGGAGCTGTATGCTGCTCATGAAGGACTGCTCCGTGACGCTTGATCATTAAAGGCCACCGCCGTTTCGTGTCCAGCACAAGGTGCATTGCGGCTGCTGAAATATTTGCTGGTTTTTCTTCCGCTTACCGAATTCGAAACGAAATGCCGCTCGTTTTCCCCTTTTTATCTGGCAACAAAACAGGTGTTAAGTTGTTAAAACACCAAACCGAAACCTTTCGCAAGGAATCGTCGAAACGTCTCTCGTTGTTTTTTTGGCTTTCCTGACCCCCCACTCCACCACCACCACCTTGCCACAATCGTGAACTCGGCAGAACTCGGGAGAGTCGTGAGTCGAATGGGAGAGGCGAGCACCACGAAACAGGACTGCAATCAGACCCCCGACCGCGACGCGAATCTCATCCAACTTGCCGCTCCCTCCACCCCACCGCGTCTCCCACGCACTCCTCCATCCCCCACACACACACACCTACCCCACCGCGTCTAATCCTCACACTTATCGATGCCTTGCTCGTACGTCAGCTTTTTTTGGTTGTTTAAAACCAAAGCCCTCCACCACCCGACAGAGGAGATCACAGTCAAATTGTATGGGCCAACCCGCCGAGATGTTGACTACCTCGCCTGTTGTACAGGAGGTCGTGGGTTCGATCCCGACCCTGACGATGCCTGCTGCTGTATGTTAGGAGTTTGCGTCTTTCTCTCTCTATCATCATCATCACGGTGGCTAGGAGATGTTAACTACCTCGCCTGGTATACAGGAGGTCGTGGGTTAGATCCTGACCCTGACGATGCCTGCTGCTGTATGTTTGTAGTTTGCGTGTCTCTCTCTCTCTATCATCATCATCATCATCACGGTTGCTAGGAGATGTTAACTACCTCGCCTGGTGTACAGGAGGTCGTAGGTTCGATTCCGATTCTGACGATGCCTGCTGCTGTATGTTTGGAGTTTGCGTGTCTTTCTCTCGCGTGGATTTTTCTCCGGATCCTCCGGGTTTTCCCTCCACATTTAGAAAAAAACATGTTTAGAGTAATTGGCTGCGAAACATTTCCACGTGATGATGTTAAGCCACTTCGTTGAGCTATCATTTGCGGCCGGGTCGCTTCTGAAACAGAGCTACTTATATTGCCCAGTGGGGCTTTACCACCAGCGTATAGTTACCAGGAATGTTTAAAAAGCACGCGAAACGAGACGGGCAATGCCGCACGACGTTTCGCTGACGATCGCAGCCAGTTTCACCAGACGTCGGCTAGAGCTCCGCTCGAACCAAAGCAAGAAACGAATTACGAATCGCAACATCGGCCGTAGCTACTCCAGAATTCCTCGCAAGTCAAACGACAACACGTGCTTCGAAGCGAAACCCGCGCCCGTAAAGCGTTGCTCGCCCTGCGGTTTGATCGCAGACTTCACGACCAACTCCGATGTTCGCCGATGGGGCGAATGTTTTGCGTTCGATGAGTGGCTAAGCGGGGATCGGTCGCTGTCCCTCGATTACAATTAGAGGCGTCACGTCGCATCGCGGCGGTGTCAGAGCCGCGTGCATCGCACCACGGGGAGAGTTGCCCCGGGAGGGGAAAGGGGGATTGGGGGGGAAGATGGAGAGAGGGGGGAGAGAGGGGAGAGAGGGGAGAAAGGTGAGGGAGAGAAGGGGTAGAGAGAGAGAGGGGTAGAAAGAGGGGGTAGAGAGAGAGGGGGTAAAGAGAGAGAGAGGGGGTAGAGAGAGGAGGTAGAGAGAGAGGGGGTAGACAGAGGGGGTAGAGAGAGAGAGGGGGCGTAGAGAGAGGGGGTAGAGAGAGAGGAAAGGGGTATGAAGGACGAGACCAATATTTTGTGAAATATTTAATTTTAACAGGAGGGGGGGGGGGGGGCACATAAAGCAGAGCATTGAGAAAAAAACCGAAATGATGAACGAAGCAAAGTGCCGACTACACCGAGCATCTTCTTGTTTCCTCTGATCGTAACAAAAGAGAGGGGGGAGACGGGGGGGAGGAGAGGGGAGATGGGGGAGAGGGGAGAGAGGGGGAGAGAAAGGGGAGACGGGGAGAGGGGGGAGAGGGGGGAGAGGGGAGAGAGGGGGAGAGAGGGGGGAGACGGGGAGAGGGGGAGAGGGGAGAGGGGAGAGAGGGGAGAGAGGGGGGAGACGGGGAGAGGGGGGAGAGGGGAGAGAGGAGAGGGGGGTGTGGGGTGTGAGCAGAAGGGATTGCGGGGAGCAGAGACGCGTAGAGAGGAGTAGAGTCGTGGACGCGCGTGGCATGGGGTTCTGATAACGAGGTTTGGGGTTTGTGAGGTGGTGGTGGTGGGTAGGGGGGGGGGATTGGTGGTGGTGACGAGGGGGGGGGGTAGCGTGGGCGATGGTTCGCACACATCTGCCGGGCCTCTTATCGGTGCGGACAGGCGACAACTTCACCGCCTTTAGCAGCCTCCACTGACCCCCCCTCCACCACCCCCCTCTCTCTCTCTCCCCTCCATCCCTGAATCGAGGAGTCTAATCCGAACCCTATCTCTCGCCCGCGCTCATTCCTACATCCATTTGTCTGTCTGTCCGCGTGTTATGTCCGTGTGCGCGGCGACCCGAGTTCGAATCCCGCTCACGGCTCCGAACCAACACCGCTTCCGATCCCCTGGGCCTCTCCTAGGTCGACTCAGCCTCAAAATCACTACCGGTGGTGTGTGAACATCGCCGTGGTGCTGGCCACTCGCCCGCTCGTGTGCCCGTGCCGGCCCTTATAGGTGCTCGCTAACAGCACTTGCCCCAACAGTTTGTTCAGGCTACACGGGGGATCTTTGTCTTTGTCTGTGTTGTGGGGGAGCGGTGGTGTAGCGGTTAGCGCAGCGCTTGTGAACCCAGGCGACCCGAGTTCGATTCCCGCTCACGGCTCCCACCAACACCGCTTCCGATCCCGTGGGCCTCTCCTAGGTCGACTCAGCCTCAAATGACTACCAGTGGTGTGTAAAAACATCGCCGCTAGGGAGACAAAGGCGGCCGGGCATGCTGCTGGCCACCCACCCCCTCGTGTGCCGTGCCGACCTTCATAGGCGTGGCTTCTACTCGCTAACAGCACTTGCCCCAACATTAGTTTGTTGAAGGCTCTGTGGGGGATGTGTGTCTCTCTCTGTGTCTGTATGTGTGTGTGTGTCTCTCTCTGTGTCTGTATGTGTGTGTGTGTCTCTCTCTGTGTCTGTATGTGTGTGTGTGTCTCTCTCTGTGTCTGTATGTGTGTGTGTGTGTCTCTCTCTCACTAACTGTGTCTCCCTCTGTGTCTGTATGTGTGTGTCTCTCTCTGTGTCTGTATGTGTGTGTGTGTGTCTCTGTCTCTGTATGTATGTGTGTGTCTCTTTTCGTGTCTGTGTGTCTCTCTCTCACTGTGTCTCTCTCTCTGTGTCTGTATGTGTGTCTCTCTCTCACTAACTCTGTGTCTCTCTCTCTCTGTGTCTGTATGTGTAGTGTGTGTCTCTCACTAACTGTGTCTCTCTCTCTGTGTCTGTGTGTGTGTGTGTCTCTGTCTCACTGTGTCTCTCTCTCTCTGTGTCTGTGTGTCTCTCTCTCACTGTGTCTCTCTCTGTGTCTGTATGTGTGTGTGTATCTCTGTGTCTGTATGTGTGTGTGTGTCTCTCTATCTCACTAACTGTGTCTCTCTCTCTCTGTGTCTGTATGTGTGTGTGTGTGTCTCTCTCTCACTAACTGTGTCTCTCTCTCTGTGTCTGTATGTGTGTGTGTTTGTGTCTCTCTCACTAACTGTGTCTCTCTCTCTGTGTCTGTATGTGTGTGTGTGTGTCTCTCTCTCACTAACTGTGTCTCTCTCTCTGTGTCTGTATGTGTGTGTGTCGCAATGCGTATTTCGGTGTGTGTGTGTCTCTCTCTCTCACTAACTGCGTCTCTCTTTCTGTGCGCGTCTCTGTGCGTGTCCATCTATCCCTGTGTCTGTTGGTGTGTTTTGTCGGTGGGTGGCTTTCACTTTGTCGTTTCGTTATCCGTGTGTGTCTCTCTCTCTCTCCATGACGTCTTTGCCTCTTCTTCCCTGTCGCTCTATCGCTCGTTTCTGTCTCTCTGCAAGGACTCTCCCCCCTCCCCCCTTAACGCCCCCACCTCACCCCCAACGTACACGTCACTTCCGCTCCTGTGACGTCACAGAGCAAGTCACGTGCACATACCTAGGCACGTGCGCGCTTTTCGTTTGATCATCATCGACCACCGTCAATCCACTGCTGGATGGATGCTTCCAAAAGCTTGTCGCCGTCTCTCCCGAAAGATGATGTGATGTTTTTTGTTTGCATTCCGACTGCAGGTATTGTGGTCTATGCAAACACGACTGCTTGTAAAAAAAAGGTGTCAGTTTTGTTGCCAGATAAAAGGGTAAAAAAAACTATTATCATATTTTTCTACTGGCAAATGGGGTTCCAATGGTGTAAATGCTTACCCCGAGCTCTCATACTCTGATGGTGCATTGCCTTTGAGTTGTGCGCCTTTTGGCGTCATCTGGTCCAACACCATGTGAGACTAGGCTCTAAGGAAAGCTGTCTCGGGTGTGGACCAATCAACTTCAAGGACAGTGCATACATTATCAGAGTTGTGTTTTTTGTTTGCATTCCGACTGCAGGTATTGTGGTCTATGCAAACATGACTCGTAAAAAAAGGTGTCAGTTTTGTTGCCAGATAAAAGGGTAAAAAAACAATTATCAGATGATGTGATGTTGATAACAAAAATCTATCTCGAGCATCTGCTATACAAACATCCAGTCTATAGCATCTACTCCATATACATCCAATCTATGGCATCTGTATAAAACCAACTATAGCACTTGCTATATATATGTAATGCGGGCGTAAATGGGCGGGGCGGATATGACGATCCGAGAGGGAGGAGTCAGGGTGACGTGGGGGAGAAGTTATAGCGGGGAGACAGGAAGCTATCTGGGGCAGTCGGGGGAGTGAAGGGTGGTGAACACGTTGGGTGGTCGCCGTGCCTCAGCCTGGTGGCTGAGGGGCTCATGACGGCGCCAGCCAGCGGGGTGGAAGAGAGAGTGGAGGATTGAGGTAGGAAGTGGCGAGATAGCCACAGAGGCCACGAAGGGCTGAGGTAGGAAATGGCGAGATAGCCATAGAGGCCACGAAGGGCTGACATTGGGAGGTGGCGAGATCGCCACGCACGGAGGAACAGGGAGCAGCGATGGAGCTGCTGGGGGAGCAGCCAGAGGGCTGTACCAAGAGCCTGCAGCGGAGCTGCAGGAGCGTGGAAGGCTACGGGAGCGAAGGCAGATGTGGGGCTGCCAGGGAGAGAGTCTCAGGAGGAGTGCCGTGTGGGAAGGAGAACGCGAACCCCAAATAAAGGACACGGAGTCAGAGAGAAGTGTCTGAGTCCTTTTATTACACTGGAGTCAGAAGTGAAACGGCATCTCAAAACAACTGAGAGAAAGAAGAAAAAAAAAAAGAATATTCCTGCTACATCATCCGAC